TCTTTGCACTGATCACTGAGGAAGGCTTTCTTATCTCCTTGCCGTTCTTTAGAACTCTGTATTCAGATGGCTGTATCTTTTCTTTTCTCCTTTGCCTTTCACTTCTCTTCTTTTCTCAGCTATTTGTAAGGCCTCCTCAGACAACCATTTTGCCTTTTTGCATTTCTTTTTCTTGGGGATGGTTTTGATCACTGCCTCCTGTACAATGTTACAAACTTCTGCCCATAGTTCTTCAGGCACTCTTGTCTATCAGGTCTAATCCCTTGGAACTATTTGTCACTTCCACTGTATAATTGTAAGGGAGTTGATTTAGGTCATACCTGAATGGTCTAGTGGTTTTCCCTACTTTCTTCAATTTAAGTATGAATTTTGTAACAAGGAGGGCTTCCCTGGTAACTCAGTTGGTAAAGAATCAGCCTGCAATGCAGGAGACCCTAGTTTGATTCCTGGGTTCAACTCCTAGGTTGGGAAGATCCCTTGGAGAAGGGAAAGGCTACCCACTCCAGTATCCTGGCCTGGAGAATTCCACAGACTGTATAGTCCATGGGGTCGCACAGAGTTGGACACAACTGAATGACTTTCACTTTTCACTTTTTTGTAATAAGTTCATGGTCTGAGTCACAGCTCCTCGTCTTTTTTTTTCCGACTGTATACAGCTTCTCCGTCTTCAGCTGCCAACAATATAATCAATCTGATTTTGGTGTTGACCATCTGGTGATGTCCATGTGTAGAGTCTTCTCTTGTGTTGTTGGAAGAGGGTGTTTGCTATGACCAGTGCGTTCTCTTGGCAGAACTCTGTTAGCCTTTGCCCTGCTTCATTTTGTACTCCAAGGCCAAATTTGCCTGTTACTCCAGGTATCTCCTGACTTCCTACTTTTGTATTCCAGTCCCCTATGATGAAAAGGACACCTTTTTTTGGTGTTAGTTCTAGAAGGTCTGGCACACTGGTGGTCCAGTGGTTCAGACTTTATCTTCCAAAGCAGGAGGTGTGTGTTTGATCCCTGGTCAGGGTGGCCAAAAAACAGAAGCAATATTGTAACAAATTCAATAAAGACTTTAAAAATGGTCCACATAAAAAAAAAAATCTTTCAAAATAAAACATCATTTAGTTTCTACACAATGGCCTAACATTTGCAGCAACACGGATGGACCTTGCGATTATCACACTAAGTGAAGTCAGAAAGACAAATGCCACATGATGTCACTTACATGTGGAATCTAAACAAAAATGATAGAAATGAATGTATTTACAAAGCAGAAACAGACTCACAGACATGGAATACAAACTACGGGTACCAAGGGGAAAGGAAGGGGGGGTATAAATTAGGAGCTTGGGATTAAAAGATACAGTACATATAAAACAGGTGATCAACAAGGATCTACTGTGTGGCACAGGGAACTGTACTCACCATGTTGTCCAGTGGCTCAGCACTGTTCTCATCCTGGAAACTGCTGACTCTGGGAGACAAGTGTGTGAGGGTCCACTACACCCCTACTTTTGTTTTTGATTTTAAAGTTCTTTTAAGTGGCTCTTTGGAAACTTGGGTGAAGTCAACTCTGAAGGCTGATGTGAGATTTCAGCTCTCACTGGGCTCACAGGGCCGCCCCATCAGACAGTGTGTGTGCAGCCCTGCCGCCTGCCAGCCAGCGTGTCCAGCGTAGGGGCGTCGGCACCTTACAAGATGGGGACGGGCCGCTCAGAGTGACTTTCCAACAGAGAAGGAACTTTCCCAGCCTCCACCCTCCCGTCGACGGCAGCTGCTGGGCGCAGCTCCCCTGGGTTTCTTACCCTGTGAAACCTCACTGGGAAGTTTCTAGGTAGAAAGATCGGGTTGGTCGGGCTCATTCCTCCAAACTTTCCAGAAAAGAACAGAAGATCCAGGCAACCTATTCTAGATTTCTTAAATGCCCCTCTCCATCATCCTGGAGAAGAGAATGGCTACCCACTCCAGTATCCTTGCCTGGAGAATTCCAGGGACGGGGGCTACAGTCCATGGCGTTGTGAAGAGTCAGACACGGCTGAGCAACCAACGGTTTTCCTTTTTTCCTCTTCATCATCAATGATTTCATGATTTCATTCCCTCTACATTTTGAAAATTTTACCCACTTAGGCACAATTTCCTTGCTAAAGAAGAGGAACTGGGGGCTGCAAACAAGTGGATGAACAGGTCATACGAGTCTTTCCTGCTTTTACCTACCACTCCCCCAAGACAAACAGTCAGGCCACACAGGGTGCTCCTCCCTTTCCTAGAGGAAAAGCCAGACAGGGGCAGGGCTGATAGGGCTGGGGAGCAGGATTCCTCAGAGAGAGAGGTCAGGAACTTCTGCCATTGGCCTCACAAGGCATCTTTTCACGTAGTCAAGTTTCCCTTAAAATGGTAAGATTGAAACCGAAGTCTCCTGAACTGTAGGTAGATTTTTTACCACTGAGCCCCCAGGGAGTCTTATAATGATAAGAAATCTTGCTTCCTTTCCCATTTTAAGATTCTGGCATTCTTGGTTTTGTTTTTATAAAGATGATACTTAGACTCATGGTCTGAATGAGGAGCAGACCGACTTTATTTTAGGTGAAATCTTGATCCTGAAGAACAGAGAGAACTTCCACGGTGGATTTTGTTTTCATATAAAGCTCATTGTTCACTCTTCAGTTCACCATGGCTTTGGGGGGAACAGAGGTGGACAGAACAGTGTGCGCATTTAAATTTCTCAAGGAGATTCTACATGCCTAATTATTTACTTTCTTTTCCTTGGAAGAGGCTGGCATGTTCTTGGGTTGGGTCTGACTGGCTGGTGCTGTTTCCGTCATGAAGGCTATGTCTGTCCCAGCATCCAGAGGGTTAAGAGCAGCACAGTGTCACCCAGAATAAGTGAGTAAGATGAAAGTGACTTTTCCTTCTGAAAACAAAAAACACAATGAAACCAGAAAAAAAAAAACCCCAGCAGAATGTGAAGTAGAGGAGACAGACCAAAGGAAACAATTAGGTATGCATAATTTTCTATAAAAATTCAAACACACATACTATTCCCGTCTATATTCCACCAAAGCCATGGTGAGCTGAGTAGTCAAGTTTGGGCTTCATATGAAGATAAACCAAAATACCAGGAAGTCTTTTCTGCTCTTCAGGATCAAGGTAACTCTCCTTAAATAAAGCCAGTCTGCGGCTCTGTCAGTCCAGGATCTGTGGCATCATCTTTACAAAACAGAGTACACCAGAACCTTAAAATGGAAAGAACAGAAGGGTGCCCACCGATGAGGGAATGAAATAAAAACTGACCAGCTGAAAACCACTATGTGCCATAAGCTTTCAATTCAGCAGTCTTACAAATCGATACACACGTACAAACAACTAAAAAGGCAAAATGAACTCAGTAAGTAAATGCCTGGTAGTAAAAGAAGGCATCGTATCTGGTTGGTTGAAAGCAGGTTTTTAAGGAGTTCGATTGGCCCCAGCCCAAGGTGGGGAGGCAGGCTGGAGGAGGGTGCTGGGTTCTGCTCCCCCTGGGTGGGGGAGATGGGGAGTCTAGCCCCACAGGAGGCTCACACAAAGCTGACCAGCGCTTCAGGAGTCCAAGGAGAGGGAGCACATTCTTAAAGAACTTGGCTGCCTGTTGTCATCTGAACATACGAGGAGATAATCAATTTAAAAAGCTGTATTGCTAATGTCCAGGCTGACTTTATTTCATGGAAAGAATAAAAAGGAAACACCAACAGCATGATTTTCCTAAACACCAGACAGGGGTGGGCGTTTTTCATTCCTCTTTTATCACATCATACAAAATAAAATTAAAAAGAAATCAACAGAAACACACCAAAACATACCCCGTACCTCTTAAATTAGCAGACTTAAAATTAAAACTCGAAGCAATATTTTGTTACACTTTGATCCAAACTCTATTTACAAAATAAATTGCACTTATAAAGATAGCAACATTTCTAACAGGGTCGTAGGTTATTCTGCTTTATTGTGGTTTTATATCTCAGTATAAAACTTTTAAAGCTTTCTTTAATAAAAAAAAAATCATACTTTCTCTTTGCAGTACGTAATTTATTTCCCCTCTGAGTTTCTAAACCGGTTTGTTTTTTGTGCTTTTCTGCTGTTTTATTTTACAAATGGCACATACCTTCTGAGTAGGTACAATCAGACAGGACACTCATCCTAAGAGACCCATTCATGAAAATGTCAAAGTGGAAAAGATATGAAATATTAGCAGTCTAATCCTTTGGTTCATCTTAAAAAAAAATCAACTGATAAAATTTGCAAATTGTTGGTAACTCTTCTTTTTGGTTAAAAATAAATCCTCCTGATTACTGATGAAAATCCAACACTGCTTTCAAATATCACCTTTCCAGCCTCATCTCTGCTCAAAGATGTCACTGTGACAACTGATTTGACAGGACTCAGGCAACAATAAGGCACAAGTGGATGGTACAAATAAAAACAAATACTTTAGGGCTGTATTTTTTTTCCTGCACAAATACTAAAATGTGTACCGTTTCCAAGATAAAATAACAAAAGGAAATACATATTTTTTGTTACGAAATACCTATACAAAAATGTTTTAAATGTACACCATCTGAGCTGCCAAAAAGAGTTTAAAAAATTACCAATTTTTTTTTCCATACATAAAACTCTCTCATCAGTAGGTCCAAGAGAATGTGGGTTTGCAAGGTCCCAGCACGTGATGGGAGGGAGGGGACCAGAATTCCCCTTCCTGCTCTCCCTGACCCCAACACAAGACAAAAACAAAGGTCAGGTGTTGTCAGTAGTATATTCTACTTGTTACAAACAACTGAAATTTAGGAGAAAAAAAAAAAAATCAAGCTGGAGACCGCGGGTGGGTGCAGTGACTGGCTGTCGGATGAGAGTAAGGCACTTCCCGGGGCGCAGCATCCCATGGTGGGGACTGACGCGGGGTCGAAGGAGACAGGGCCTGGGGGGCTCCAGGGGGCAGGCCGGCTCCGCAGCGGGACGACTCGGGAGGTAAGACGGACGCGCCAGCTACACCGACGTGGCCACGCGGTCGAGGGCGCGGCTGAGCTCGTTTTTGTTGGAGTCCAGTCCTTTAGCAGCACTCCTGTCGTTCCGTAGGCTCTCCACCGTCTTCTTCATGCTCTTGAGCTCCCCTGGGTGGGGCGTGGCTCGCCTCAGGAGTGTCCTCTGAAAGGCAGACAGTGGGGTGAGCGTCTGGGCTTCACTCCATCACTCCCGCAAAAGCTTTCCGACCCAGGTCCCCCTGCCCAGAGGACACAAGCAGAGCGGGTGGAAAGCTTGCCTTGGAGCTACAAGCATTTATCAACTGCTCCCAAGCGGAAGGAAGGATGAAAATGCTGTCTACAACTTATCTCGCCAAGATGGAAGGGTTCCTTTCAGGATAAAAGAATACTTAGGAAAATATGAGATGTGTTAGGACAAAAACAAGGTTTCACGAACAGTAAGAAGAAGAATAAAAGACTTACAAGATATAATGAGGGGGGTGGAGGAAGGAAAAACGGGTCAAAAATTCTAAAATTAAAATCACTAGAATGTTCTACTGTTATCTGAAGGCCTTCTTCAACCCATGAGGCACAGGAGGTGAAGGAAAAGGGAGGTGAGAAAGGGCTTCTTTTCTAATTCACCTGTTTTATTAATATTTATTAATAATAATTATTAATATTTATATGACCTGCTGAAGAAAATTCACATTTTTTCCTAAAAGACTACGGGGCTGGAAGTGAAGTAACAGGGTATGGACAATGCTTTAAAAATTACATTATTAAAGATGCTATGTGCTCTTCTGCTCCTCAAACAGCGCCTACCTCTCCAGTGAGTCTGAGGAAGGGCCATCGAAGGTTAACAATGGCAGGCCAGAACTCAGACAGCGAGTGGCTGGCCAAACAGTCCTGCTCTAAGAAGCCGTGACGTAAAAGTAAAGAGCCCTTTTGGCTGGAGTCATTTTGTCATGCTTAATTCCTACTCTGCCCTCTACTACTGTAAGTCAATAAAAGTCCACCTGCGGACAGCTGGAATAACAAACTACTGCCTGGCAGTAATCTAAAAACCTCCCTTTGTCTTGGGGGCAGCAAGTATTCCCTCTGAGCTCTGCTTATGAAAATCTCAATTAGTGTCAGGAAGCTCAGAGGCCAAAGTCAACTTGCAGGAAGGCTCACAAGTTGTCCCTGACTCAGCCGAATGGCAGAGACATGTGTCGAGGATGGAGGCAAGTCGGGCTGAGTGGTCCTTTCAAACCTACGCCTGATTCTGCACGAAAGCCGGTAAGGGAATCCTACGAAGGTCCCACGCTCTCCTCAAGCTGAGCCGCACAGCTCAACGCAGATGAGTCCGCACGGCAGAGCTGCACGTGGTGGATTGCTGAGAACGAACGACGGAAAAGAAACACTTCCCAACTGCTTTTTAAGAAAGCAGAAGGGGCATGACGGGAAACCGTCACAAAGAAAGAAAAAGAAGCACCCACACCCTGTTCAAACAAACAAACAAATCTAAAAGTCCCACTTGCTTTACGTGCATTTGGTGAACCAGGACCTTAGAAGTATCTAGCTTTTGCCTTCTAAAAAAAATGCTTAAATACCGAAGGCAGAAAGGAGGAAAGGCTATTTGAAAGAAAGAGGGCTCTTTGTCAGGCGCCACTCTGAGCCTCCACGAATGCCCAGCAGCCTGAACCCCGTACCGTTTCGTGGTCATCGTCGTCCTTCTCATCGTCCAGAAACCGGATGGCGCTGATGCGGTTCACCGCCCGCTCGTTCCAGGCCTCTTCTGACACGTCGTGCACCAGGCTCTCCAGGGCGCCGCAGCGGGGCAGGTTCTCTGCCGGACAAAGACCAGGTCAGCAGGGCTGCCGCGGCGAGGCGGCCCTGTCTTTCCAAGGATGCCTAATTCTGTCTGAGGTCACAGCTGCTAAATCAGTGTTTACCATTTCATTCCAGAATATCATCATGACTCACAGACATCTTTTTCAAGGTTCTTTCTGACACGCTCACTTCAAAAACTTCCTCTTGACAGTGAGGTGGCCACACATGTAGGATCTGGTCCTTTTCTTGGCCACTCACCCTGCACTGTCCTCGTGGGGTCTTCACATCCCTCTAACCAGTCTGGGGTCAGTGAGGTGCCTCCGTTTGCCCAGAGCCTTCTAGACTTCTTCTATTGAAACCAGCTCTCAGCAAAGGCTTTGAGACAGCCACGCCACGTGACTATGAACGCTTTCTTAAAAGCACATATGATTTACAAAACAAAGGTACAGTTACTCAAAACAACTCCCTGGCTTAAAAATGCTTTGCTGGAGACCATCAATGCTAATCCTCCAAACTGTCTGCATGAATTTTAAGGGACTTTTATCTCTTTTAGGAGGACATATGTGCATTTTCAGCCTTAGCTAGAATTCAAAACCAGAAGGCTATTTAAAGAATGCCAGGCGTGATACACAGGTGTGAGCATGTGTTCTGCAAAGCCCCATGGTCGGGAAGCGGCCTTACGGATGGGCGGGAGCCGCTGCTAACTCTCGGGGCCAAGCGAACCGGCCCTTCAATTCACCTTGGCAGGCAGGTTCAGAAGGCAGCTGAGGAAGTAAGACACAGGTGAGGATCTTCTCCCCGGTGGTGTGGTCGGTGTCCGTCTGGAACGTGAGCAGGGGCTGGGCCTGGTTGTCCGATAACCAGAGAGCCTTCAAGTTCAAGGCGGTCAGCGATAAAGGCAGGTGCGACAGCCTTAATGAAAACACAGGGAGAGGGTGGGTGCTTACCATCTGTAATGAAATCAAACCTTGTCCACAAAAGACAAAAGTTCAACAACTGCTTCCTGAGACTGGGTGCGGGATGTGAAACGGTGCTGTTTATACTGAGACACGCTGGGTCCCCTTTGCCAGGAGATGCTTCGGGGGGTGACTGCGTTGCCTTTTCCTGCCATCACCTCTCTCTGGCACCTCGAGGCCACATGCCAAAAAAATTAGGAAGTTACAACACACACTGTTTACTCTTAGGCTAGGAAAGTGAAAGTCACTCAGTCGTGTCTGACTCTTTGCGACCCCATGGACTATACAGTTCATGGGATTCTCCAGGCCAGAAGACTGGAGTGGGTGGCCTTTCCCGTCTCCAGGGGATCTTCCCAACCCCAGGATAGAATCCAGGGTCTCCTGCATTGCAGGTGGATTCTCTACCAGCTGAGCCACCAGGGAAGCCAGCCTCCAGGTGGGTTTGGGAAGCCAGTGCACTTGTGGAAGGACCCAGAAGCTGAGCTCTTCCTGAGTCACGCTCGGCAGGGCTGCAATGAAGCTGTGCAGTTGCCTGGGCCCAGGAGCACCTGTAAGTCGGGATGTGAGGGAGGCTGGGGTGCTGAAGAGCTTAAACCACAGTTAAAGATTACAAGCGCTTTTTCATGGCCTCCACTTGCTCTCTCCGGGGAGATGATTTTAGGTGTTCCATTTCAGACTAAAGTTCCTGAAAGCTCCCACTTCTCAGACACCTATGTGATCATTAATTTCCACCTCGGATTGCTTCAGTTTCAAAGGGGATACACTTTAAAAACTGTAATGCAACTCCTCAAGATTAGTTTTATATTTATGTCTGTACAAACACTTGACCAGTGAAATCTATTTAGTGGAGACTGTTAGCAGAAATCAAAAGTACTTGATAGCTAGCAAAGGCCACTTGCACAGAATATCTCAGCCAGGGGTGATCTTGCCCCCAGGGAACACCTGGCAATGGCTAGAGACATTTTGGGGGAGGGTTTTTTTTTTTTTTTTTTTGCCTCGCCATGTGGTTTGCAGGCACTCACTTCCCTAACCAGGGACTGAACCTGGCCCCTGGCCCTGGAAGCACAGAGTTCTAACCACTGGGTTGCCAGGAAAGCCCCTGGGAATGCTGCTGACATATCGAGGGGTGCAGCTCGGATGCTCCCAAACACCTTACAATACACAGTCCCGCAACAAGGAGCCATCAGCCCCACATGGAAGGATGCCAAGTGCGGGGCTGTGGTAAAAGTCAATGCTTCACACACATCACTGATCCACGCTGAAAACACCTGAACCTCTGCAGATGCCACGGATTTAAGGTTTAAAGAACTGAAGGTTATACCTGATCAAGTATTTTTACTCTTAAGGATGGCTCCATGGATTAAATGATGGTTCCACCATAGAAGTGATTTTATAAGTTAGATTAAAAATAAGTTAGATAAAAAACAGACTGATCACAGTCTGTTATCTACAATGTGCCACACATTTTCTCCAAAGAAATTTCTGGCCCGTTAGTTCTGAAAGACATTATCTGACACTGTGTATCCTGGGGTTCTTTCTTCTATGAAATGGTACCTCCATCTCCACTTAACATACATACAAGAGCCCCCTAACGTCTCACCAACAGATTAATACTCCCTTATCAGATATATTTTGAATTGACAGACTTATGGGAAATAAACTAGAACTCTAGTAAGAGCAGTTGGACTCCAATAGTATAAGACGAATCCAAGTAAAAGGTAAGCAGAGACCAGCTAAGTTATTTTAGCGGATGAAGTTAAAAACGACCAAAGAAAGCAGTGAGAGTACTAACAAACTTTCCATAAGAAGAATGAATACATTTTCGCAAACGCCTTCCCTTGTCCTATTTACGGAGGTGAGAAAATATTTTCTTTTCCTAATCGTCCAGGAAAGGCTGATCCACCCAGCACACACGCAAGGGGTGTGGTGCTGGGTAAACGTAGGGAACCATGCCCACAGCGGAGTGAGGTTCTCGAGTCAATGCAGTGAAACCTACCTACATTAAAGGACCCAGACAGACTCCACGTGGTGTCCCAGCCAGCAGTTTACCAACGACAGTCAAACTGGGTGGGAGATCCATGTTTTTAAATCCCAGAATCCACCCAGTGCAGGGACGCACATACACCATCAGGATGGCCGGGGTGGGGAATTGGGGGGCACAGCTGCTTACAGCCCCAGCTCCCCTTTTTCTGAGGCAGTGGTTCCTTGAGGTAGTTTGGAAGTGAAATCTCTGTGCTTATTTGTATAAGCTTCAAACAATCTCTCATCTGACCAAATGCCGTCACACGTATGCTAAACGCAAGGAACTTGAAGACGCAAGGCAAGTATCTGCCGGACGCTATGATGGGGATTTTTAAAAAGAATACCCTAATTCACTGCAGGCGCTTAAAGGACATCAAACCCTCTTTCATGCCACAGAACCCAAGGATAATTTCTTTTGAAAGTCTGTCCCTATTTCTTTTTTGAGTTAAGCTAATATCCTCTGGAATGTTTCAAGGTCTTGGGCAAGAAATCTATAGTAGGCATCTCTGCTTTTAAGAGCATAAGGAAGAGAGTAAATCAAGGCTCGAAAGCTGGCATGACACACAGATCCTGAAGCAAGGTCATCGTGCCTTCTCAGGCTAATAACTGGCTTCCCAGCTAAAAGCAAAAGCAAAGGTATAAATAAAAGGCAACGCGGAGCATCAGTAACAGCGGCTAAGGATGACAAATCGTATCGTAAGAGCTAAAGTAAATTACTAGACTCCACAGCTACAGGTCTGAAAGTCACATGCCACCAAGCCAGGGAAGACGGATACGTGGTCTAAAACACAAGTTTTCCTGCAAAGCATCAATGTACCAGCTTGGACACGGGGGCTACCAGCCAAGCACACACCACACACACGAGCTTGTTCACACGTGTCTTGTGGACAGAGGTGTTCCCAGTGCAAAAGGGGAAAAAAAGCCTCTGCTCCCTGCCCAGTCTGCAAACAGACTGCGGGCTGGGTGGCCCCACGCTGACGCCCTGCAGCCTGAGGGGAAAGACACACACTGCCCTGCTTCTCTGGGGTGAACAGGCCAGACACAGGCCATAAGCAGAGCTTAAATATGCAAAATCTATGTATATATTAAATATAAATAATAGTATAGACATATGTTTTCTATTAAAAATATATATATATATGTACATATTCCCACTTTCCAGCAGAGTTAATAATAAATTTTTGGTTTATTCTGGTACCTTCCGCTGACTACAAGATCAACGTAAGAAGCCACAGCCCCATTTGTCCACATCACCATGTTCCATTTAGGACCACATCCCCTAAATAAATAAAAGAAACAGAAAGCCTACAGCTACTATTTACAGCAACAGTACAAGGACTAGAACAAATGAACAACCATATCATGAGCTTCTCCTTTTTAGGGACCTCAGTGACAAGTCCAGCCTGAAGTGGCCTTCCCCACCTCTGATTAGGACTTTTTTCTTCTTAAAGTCACTCAGTCGTGTCCGACTCTTTGCGACCCCATGGACTATACAGTCCATGGAATTCTCCAGGCCAGAATACTGGAGTGAGTAGCCTTTCCCTTCTCCAGGGGATCTTCCCAACCTAGGGATCAAACCCAGGTATCCCGCATTGCAGGCTGATTCTTTACCAGCTGAGCCACAAGGGAAGCCCAAGAATACTGGAGTGGGTAGCCTATCCCTTCTCCAGTGGATCTTCCCAAGCCAGGAATTGAACCAGGGTCTCCTGCGTTGCAGGCAGATTCTTTACCAACTGAGCTGTGAGGGAAGCCCCTCGTAGCTATGAGGAAGCTATGAGCAGATTAGGACAGCAGTTGCTTTATCCCATTTATTTAACAACCAAAAGTGGCTGACTGATTAATGTAATACTAACTTAACCGACGGCTGAATGGTACTTACAATTGAGTGTTTCATCTGTTTGTTTCTTCCTACTAGAATTGTTAGTTTTAAGCAAAGTTTTCAAAAATGTTTAAAGACACATAGAGAGAGAGAACATAATCAGTGAAAAAAATGTCAACTGTGCCAAAGTATCTAAAGAGAAAGCCTCCGTAACCTCGGGTTTGCAGTCGCCCTGCAGGGGAACCACTCCATTCTCTGGAGTTCTCCGCAGGTAAGACGTTCTAAAAACAAGAACGAGGGCACCGGGCACCACGCACACGCACTCAGCCCTGGGCATTGTGGGTCACAGGGCGGAGACGCAGTTCATCCTCTAGTGGCTCAGGGTTCCATGGTCTGGCTACACTGTTGGCTTGCATTTTGTCTTTTTATATTTTTTCCAGCTTTATTGACAGGTAACACTGTAAATCTGAGGCGGACAGGGTGATGATCTGATGCACTTACATATACAGTCAGTTCTCCGTGTCTGAGGATGCAGGACTCACAGATATGGGGGTCCACTGTACTGCGGCATCTAACCTAAGGGGCTGGGCACTTGCAGGCATCTGCCCCTGTTGGTACCCTGGTCGGGGCAGGGCCCTGAAACCAATCTCCCCAAGGATACAGAGGACAACGACATTGGGAAATGATTGCCTAGTAGGCTTAGGGTCTCCATCTCCTCCTGTAATTACCAATGTGTGCGTGTGTTGGAGACATTTAAGATGGACTCTCTCGGCACCTCTGAAGGATATCGTACGGTGTTACTCACTGCAATCACCTGCTGTACGTTAGACTCTCAGAGAGGCTTCCCCTGCTAACTAGAAATGTACGCCCTCCGGCATCTCATTTCCCCCACCCGCTGGCCCTTAGCAACCACCACTCTACTCTGTTCCAGCTTGTTTAGATTCCACAAATCAGTGAGCTCTCACAGTATCTGCCTTTCTCTAACCTATCTCTCTCAGCAAAATGCCTTCAAGGTCTATCCATGTTGTAAACTGGAGAAGGAAATTGCAACCCACTCCAGTATTCTTGCCTGGAAAACTCCATGGACAGAGGAGCCAGGTAGGTGCCAATCCACGAGATCGCCAAGAGCCGGACACTACTGAGCGACTATGCATATGTTGCAAACGGAAAGATTTCTGACCTTCTCGCAGCTGAGTAATATTCCACTTCCTATATATGAATATAAACACACAGGCACACACCACATCTCCTTCATCCATCCATCTGGCACTGCTGACGCTGTTTTCACATCTTGGCTACCGTGAATAAAGCTGCAGTGAACATGGGGGAGTAGATACCTCTTTGATATCCTGTTTTCTTTTCCTTTGGGCATATGTCCAGAAGTGGAATTGCTGGGTCATACAGCAGTTCTGTTTATAAAAACTTATTGAGGAAAAACTCCATGCTGTTTTCCATAGTGGCTGCACCAACGTACATTTCCCCATAGTGCACAAGGGTGCTCTTTTCTCTGCCAACACGTGTCATCTCGTCTTTTTGACAAAAGCCATTGTAATAGGTATGTGGTGATATCTTATTTATCTTTTTAATTTTTTGGATTATGAAATTCAAAGGTACAAACTATTTTCCCATTGACGGCCCTGGTTTGCAGTATTTGGCATTAGTAATACTTCGAGGAAGATGCTCGAATACCCGATTTTGTGAACTTGGTGGACAGTCTCATGGGGAAAAAGCTGAGAGTCAGGGACCTCTGTGTCCTGGGCCCACATGACTGATCCAAGGCACCTCCTCTGTTACTGGACCAGGAGACTTGGTGCTTTTGTTTCCAAGTGGCATTTTAGCATTATCCTTGCTAGAATTTTTCCTATCAAACGTGTCAAAGAAGGTTTCTAGGAACAAACGTGCAGGGTCCCTGTGCCATTTGCTACTTTTATATGCTTGGGAGGAGAGGCAGAAACTCCTGTGGTGTTTGGTAGGACTTCCCATGGTGTGACATCTCTGCAAGGTGAAAAGCTGACATGGCAGCCTTTTTTTTATGAGCTTCTATACTGATACTTTAAATAAGTAGTCATTAAATATGTTTAATAAGCTTGAAATCTGGTTATGAATCTGTATATACTATGGCCCAAATGCACACTTAACCCACTCAGATGACAGCTGTGGCACTCAGCTTTTCAACTGGGTTTTCTCCACCCTGGCCCAGGCATGATAAAAACAGAACTTTCCCTTCTTCTGAGAACTGGAGAATGGGGACTCCCCTCATGTGAAAAGCAGTTTTCAGATGCTGGAGTCATCTTTCTGCTTTAGAATTAGCGATGTAAATGCATGCTCTCCAGAGTAGTGAGTTCTCCTGCTGCAGGATGAACACAGGAGGGAGGGAAGGGGGACCTTCTCCTGGGAGCTCAGTCCAGGCGGAAAGTCAACATCCAGCTCTAGCTAATCCCGAGATTCCAGTCACCAGTGAGTGGCTTAAGCATCGATCATGATGTCCTGAAAGCATCAACTTAAAAACAGTGAGCAGTTCCTGAGGCCATAACTCATCACCAGACTCCCCAGTGTCCTGCTATTCGTTTAGCTCTGCTGCCCACGATTAGCAGGAGTGACAAATTGCGGCCCGCGCCTGACCCGTGAGCAGCAAATCTCTGAGGACACAGTGCCCCAGACACTCCTCAAATCACCAGCATTTACCCCTTAGGAACAAGGATCATCCTCCCCCCAGCTCAACACTTTTCCGTCTAACACTCGAAAGCATTTTTGAAATTCCTCTTCTTGGCAATGAAGCCTGTGACATCAGGCACTTTGCAGTGGCCTGCCAGCTATTCTGCAAAACTAACATTTCTAATGTTTTCATTCAGTTAACAAATATTGGCCAGGCATCTCCTGAAGGGACAAATCACAATGACACACAAACCATCACATGCACTTTAGGTAACTTTAGCTTTCAGAGGACAGCACGTAGGTCAACAGGCAGTGATCACTGGGATAATCCAGAAACGCAGACCCGGAGAAGAGAAGTCTTCCCGGAGAGGGGCATGAGGGAGAAAATATAAAGTTACAAAGACAGAGAAAGGGTCGGAGGTGGAAAGAAGAGCCTGGGTAGGAAAGTGCAGTGCTGTCTGAAGTGATGAAATCAGCTCAGAGTGGTTGAAACTACTGCACTGTTATAGGCTGGTGAGCATGCCGGCAGGCCTCTGACCCAGAACCCGACACAGACTGGCTGCTCTCTAGGTTTTGTAGACTATGAAGCACTTGGTAATTCTGACATCAGCTATGGATGGTCTCGCCAGCAAAGTATCCCCGAGTACAATATTGTTCACAAAGTCAGGGGGTTCAGAGTCACAGGCAGAGCAGAGCAAGGCTCCAAGCTACACTCTAGCTCAGACTCATTGGAGCTCATTTTTCAGATGAGGAAACCGAGGCCCAGGGTGATTCATGGAAGCCAGTTATAAAAGCCAAGACCTAGGTCTCCCCCCGCTTCCATTAGCGTACTGCCAACCAAAACCCACGTTTCCAGCTGCACCCACGGTACCCTGAAAGGACCCCAGGCGCCGACAGCCCTGACCTTGTCCCCACCACGGGCTCTACCATTCCAGCTCCCAGGATGAGAGCTTCCAGGCCTGGCTCACGTGTCCGATCCATCAGAACACGCTCTACCAGGTGGAGCGAAGGCGAGACGGCGGAGGCCGGGCTGGAGGACCGTCTGCTTGTCTCGGGCTTACCTGTTCCCTGCCACGTCGAGGACGTGCAGCTCAGCCGCCCGGGACACCTCCGCGGGGATCCGAGTCAGCCTGTTGTCACGCACACAGAACACAGTAAGGCTGCAGCAACCGCCAATCTACGACAGGAAATGAAACACGACTGTTTTCCAGGCTGTTCTGGGATATGGGGGTGGGGCTGGAGGGTCTTGTTCATCAAATGGCATGAAAAGGATGCACAAAATTCTATCACGCAACTATTAAGTCTCCCTGATGACAAACTATGATCAATTCAAATCATACAAAACATTGAGTAACCTGATAAAAATCTCTGCAAACATTAAACATTCATGTTCTCAATGAAGCCAAGAAAATAAACAATACAGTTCAAAAACTGCATTCTGAACGGAAAGTCATTTTATCTTTCAAATATGTTAACCAGATGACACAGTCCAGACACATATATAATTTGGTAATATGGAAGTTTAAGAATTCTAGGTTAGAAAAGAATATGAAAAAGCATAAATATATATACATATGTATGTATAACCATGTTGTACACCAAAAACTAACACATTGTAAATCAACTATACTTCAATAAAAAGTTAAAAAAAAAAAGAATCCTAGGTATTAAAAGTTAGGCCAAAGATGATACACACACACACAGAGTTTTCAAGACCTGCCCACTATATTAACTTCAGTGTTCCAGTTTATTTTTAAAAAAGAAAAAAGAGAGACATCTGAGAGATGATACATTGATTTCTATCACACATCTTTGAATAGCCTTTGGTCATTCACAACTTAATTTGATAAACTGATTTGCCTTTGACAAATGCAAAATCAACCATTTTTTAGCAAAAAGTAAATTCTGTCAGCTATGACCGACCGAGCAAACTCTGGGAGATAGTGAAGGAAAGGGAAGACTGGCATGCTGCAGTCCATGGGGTCACAAACAGTCAGACATGACCTAGCAACTAAACAACAACATAACCTGCTGCTAAAAGCATATGTCAATATCTGCACCCACACCAAATCTGATTCCCTTTTTTTAAAGTAACCAGCTCTAAGATAACTGAGCTCAGTATGAGTCTGGTCTTCACGAAAGAATTCACTGCCTCTCTTGAACAAGTTGGCGTTCTACAGACAGGAAAGCCGAGCCAAGGGGGTGCAAATCCAGCCCGTCCTAGACACGCCGCCCCGTGGGCCTGGGGCCATGCTCCACTCTGCATGCAGGCACTGTCCTGACTCAGAGCGGTTGCTGCAAAAGGGCTTCTGAAGGGACCTATTGATTCCGGCACATGGAAAAGTACTCCAGGGCCTCCCGCCACAAGAGGAGCAAGACACCTGGGTCTTCATCAGTGTCTGAATATACCTTCTGCCCTTTCCTATATTTATCTCTGTGTTAAATGTCTGTTTAGACCTTAACAGAAGACACATTTATGAAACTTCTACATAATCCCTTTCATGTACAACTTATTATACCTTCCCTCAGGAGTTAACATAAAGATTTTGAAATACTGTATTTAACGACAGCATGTAACCGTAATGAATGCATGAGAAAACACAGAAGAAAACAGGCCTGAATTCCTCTCTGAATACCTGGAAGCGACCCCGGTATGTCGTGTCCCCTTGATTCTCAGTATCTGCATTTCCCATCCCGGAAAAACTCATTTGCCCACTGTCCTCCACAAGACAGCGTGGACTGATATTTCTCGTCACACTATTTCTTATAGAAACACCCTTCTGTCGTTTTCGAATCTTACCGATCACCCCTGATTAGCGAAAACATGCTCTAAGCCCACACCACCGTCCCAGAAGCCCTGGTCAGCACCAACCCATTGCATTCCTAGTCCACACAACCCTCTGAAAGATCGTCTGACAGGCTGTTTAGTTTGCATGCTTACATGTAATCAGAGTGCCTGGCCACTCATCTGCCCAAGGGGAAGAAGCCCAGCTACCCACCAACATTCCTCATGAGGGTATGCTTACACACTTGCATTTGTTCACCTACTGCTGAAAGGCTGGGTCGTGAAGTTATCATTTGCCTCCATGTGCAGCAACTGGAGACCACAGAACTCTTCTCTGGCAAGAGTCACTGTGTCTGATGTTGTGTAGATTTCATGTCCTAAGAGAGGCGTCAGCATCTCCCCGGAGCTGGGTGTTCTTCCCTTCCTTGAGGAAGGGATCGGTTTTCCTCAGGTGCCCAGGCACCTTGGGAAAGGAGACGGATCAAAACCAGGGATGCCCTGGAGCAGGTGACAAGTGACAGGACCAGATCCTCCCTGATGAATCTGGGTGATCCCAAAAAGATCGACCCACAGGGAAGAACACCGGGGTTCCCAGGGGCCCAGCTCCGCTCCACGAGGATGGGGACCCGCACTGGGTCTGCGAGGAGGGGCAGGCACACCGCGTCCCGCTGGCTCTGAGGCAGGGCTCCCCTGCACTCCGGGGAGGGTGAGTCACACGTGGGACCCGCCTGCTGAGGGATGAGGTCCAGGGGGTGCACAGAGCTGAGACTGTGGCAGCCTGGGGCTGCACTGGTGCTGAAGCCGCCCGCTGCCTGCGCCAGCGGGGTCTCTGTATCGGCGGGGCTGTCCGCGGTTGGATACACCACCTCCACACTTCCCATGTGTACCACATGCATATACCATCTACTCCTCAACAATCATTAGCTAATGAATGTGAGTGAGAGAGAGCCGTGAACACTGTCCATGCAATAAAACCTCTGCACAAGTTCACGCCCTTAAGGACTCTGGGGTAAAAGATGGGAAACTCGGAGGGTGTGCACTGCCTGTGTGTCTGTGGTGTATTTTTTTCTTACTTCCCCACTCTAATCTCACACCACTGGAGAGGTCGGGGGAAGGAAGGCAGTGTATCGGGAGCCTCAGGCACCCTGGGTCGCCAAGGCGGAGAGTGGCCTCTGAGCCCCACCGGCCACGTTCTGGGGAAACGAGCCCGCCTGGGCCAGCCTGCGAGGGCTGCCTGATCGAGGAAGACACCAGCACACCGCTTGCACCTCTGTGTAAGCCCCTGGAAAGCGAGGGTGCGAAGCTTCAGCTTCTAGAAAAGATAACTGGACAGTTAAAACCATGACTCAAAAGACGGGGTTCTGCACAGACGTCAGGGCGGGACGTGGGCACCGGGGCGGGGGTGGTCTTTGGGGTCACACAGACCCACAGTGGGATTTAGGCTCCGTCCTAGGTCCTGTGGGGTCTCACGTGTTCCTTCAGAGGAAGTAACAGTAAGCATTAGGGTGAAGGGAGCCACCTGCCACCGCCCCTATCCGAGGACCCGGCCTGTTGCCTCTGCCAAGTAAACAGAGCTGGGGTTTTTCCGAGAAGGTCAAGGCCCAGGCCCGAGTCGGGAGGCAGTCCACACCTGAGCCCCTGCCACGTCACTGGAACTTTGCCGAGGCCGCCCACTGCGGCCCTCGATGCCACAGAACGCGCTCGGGTTTCGGCCCCCATGACGGGGCCTTGGGGTGACATTTCTTATGTGCACGGGAGTGAAGAACTGCCCTGAGTTCAGGACTGTGTTTTGCAACATTCACATGTATTTCTGCTTTCTTTTTCGGGTTCAGGAGGCAGAGTTTACCTGCTCCTTAGGGGTCAACAGGGTAAAATGTCTTATCACTTAGGAAGCAGAGTCGCTGTTTAAGTAACTAATCACCAGTTACATAGAAGGCTGACATTTTAAAACCCCTCTAACCTCATAATAGCACACCAGGATAACAGCACCACAGAAAAGAATACAAGGGTCTGGACTTGGATTTTATGAGAATTACAGAACGCAGCTGAGGACACTTACTGTGTTCTCCTAATTCAAGACAATACCATCCTTGACTCTTTGGCACTGATCTGATCCACCTCAAGGCAATGGGACCTGCAGATCACGGAGCAAACCTTGGGTCACATCAGCTTTCCCTGAGTATTAACTGCCTGCAGGTGACAGCTCAGAGGAGACCATCAGACAGACTGCCGGACTCAAAGAGAAAGGCTGTATGGGTCACCTTTGCCCACATCCTGCCCCGAGTGGAAAGGAACTTTCATTTTCCTTCAGTATCTCCCTTTTGATATATTACTGTAGCAGAACTGAACCCATACTTCACCGGCAAGAGGGAAAATGTACAATAAGCAAAATTGGGTCAAAATTCCATGTGAAAAGAAATAACATGATGTGTAATTTTAGAAACCAAAGGCTATTTTTGCCTTTCCCAACATCATCTGTAGCGTATTATTCAAATGCTCCCCACTCCAGAAATATTTGGGAAACCATGTGGTTTTGGGACTCCCTCAATTGTTGGACCACTGACATCAAAATATCCACTGACAGCGACAGCATTCTTCTAATTATAAAAAAAGTAACTTAGGTGACTGGAAAAATAAAAACCACACACACACAAGACGGCATGATGAGAAAACAACTCAAACCAAATCCTGCCACAGAGGGATAATCAACCTTAACATTCGGAGGTGCCAACGCCAGGCATCTGTGGTTATAAGCATGCACTTCAACAGAATTAATTCTGTTGAATTAATTAATTAATTAATTGAATTAACTCTTCAATTCACTTCAATTGAATTCAACAGAATTCAACCAGCTGTCATCTTTATGCACCTTTGTCTGCATACCAGAATGCTTTCCCACATCATTATGATTCTACCAATTTTACTGACCACTTAGTTATTTCCTTCTACAGATGGATCACAGATTACTTAGCATATCACCCTTCGAGACACTGCTTATTAGTTCTGCCATTTCTCTGCTGTGTGACCCTGGGAAAGTTACTTAACCTGAGTCTCAGCTTAGAAATCTGTTGGATGTAGATGATTGTTTCCTCTACCTAATAGAACTGTTGTGAAAATCAAACCAGACTTAGCCTGAGGGCACCTGGCACATGTCAGCTGCCCCTGGACATGCTCAGCACACTGCTTGGAACATGTTAAGACACTTCTGTGTACAATGGGAGAAAGAAATCTTGTGCATGCCTCTCAGTGTGCATTCCTGATTGCTGTCTTAGGATAAATTCCTACAAGTGCAACTACAGAATCAAAGTGTATGCACATTTTTTAAGTTTTTAATAATGCTACCAAATTCCCTTCCAGAGACACCATAATTTATACTTCCATGATAACAGGTA